CAGGTCCTGCACGTAGGGGCCCAAGATGGGGTGCTCCCGGACTCTCAGAGAGCCCCGACTCTTGGGATTCAAAAGGTCACGTACCCGCTCGCAATAAATCTCCATATAGCTCACCTGAGTAGGAGACACAAATAAGGAGGAAGCCAGCAGAAAACACTGCCAGTGAAACCTAACATAGCACAGGACATAGGTAACCATACCTCATGTATACCAGACAGGGATAAGATTCTGCATATGCTAGCTCACTGAGCCACCCACCAACCCTAGAGTCCCAGTCATTAGCATTTCACACAAATACACACTAAGGAGCTAAAGGCTGAAATCATTCCTCAAAAGCACAGTTAATAACCAGCAGAGCCAGAATTATATCCCAGGCTGACCCCAGAGATGGCCTCCATATTAAATGCTGTTTTCCTGTCTTCTTGCCCGAAGCAGCAAGCCCTTTCCCTACCTCCCACCAAGACTTGGGCTTACCTCCACAGAATAGGAGAGCTGAGAGCTCTGGTTCTCATTAACACGAGAGAAGAGGTCCTCACAGAGCTGGAGTGGGACACAAAGAAGCATAGAGAAGTTCCTGTTCATGGCACACCTGCAGTGCCCAGCCGCAGGCCAGGCTCTGTTCCAGCTAACCCCTTTCAACTCTTCCCAAAGTCCTGAAGGCAGGGTCATTCCCATTTTACAGATGGGAAAACAACCTGTGAGAGGTTCACACTTGCCCAGGGTCACAGGCTAATATTCAGTGATCCAGTACCCAAACCCAGCAGTCCTGCTGCTGACTCTGGGTACAAGGCCACTGTGCTACATGGCCAGGGAGAATTATGGCCAACTCTCAAATACCCAAATCTACATCTTTCTATAGTAAATACCTTGTCTATAGTACAGAAGCCCAGAGGGGAACTGTGTTCACAGATAATTATGAAACAAAGTAAAACAACAGCCAAGTGGTAAAGTCGAAACCCAAGGCTCTGACACTAGGGCCTTGGCTCTTATCATAGAGCCTTAATGTTTCTGGAAGGAGAAAAAAACCCCTTCCCCAAAGTGCCCAAGTTGCTCTATTACATGCCCTACCACTAACGACCTTGGAGAACCTGATCTCTTCTGCATAATCCTTCCTTCCCTATGGGGCAGCTAAAGATGCTCCTGCCCTAAATGCCCAGCCAGGTCCCAAGCACATACCTGAGGCACGATGCCCTGCTGCCCTGGCTCCTGACGCCCCATCATGGTATAGGACTTCCCAGCCCCAGTCTGTCCATAGGCAAAGATGCACACGTTGTAGCCTTCAAAGGCATGGAGTAGCATCTCTTCCCCAATGTCCCGATACACCTGCTGCTGAGATGCAAACTGGGGGTCCTCAGCCTAGGTGAAAGGGGGCCAGAGAAAGACAGTAGAAGTACTGAATAACTTTGTCCTTTGTGCTTATAGCCTGAGAGTCTTGCCCTTTATCACCAATAACTTCCCAAAGGTCCTGGGCACCCCTGCTCCATCATCAATCCTAAAGATCCTATCAAGCTCCTATGGGTCCTAATTATCCCAAGAAATTCTACTCCCCCCTCCTGGTCCTAATAAAAACCTAAGGGTCTTACCCGCCCCCACCCAGGGGTCCTCCCCTTCCCAATCCAGTCCCAACCAATCTCCCGGTGTCCCTGTTTCCCAACCATGGCCCCTCCCAGAACCTAAGCCCCTGTCAACAGGATGGTTGAGCTCTTCCCTTGGCTTAGCAATCTCACCGAAGTGTGTGACCAGTAAGAGTAGTCAAAGGTGAAGCTTTTGGGGGCATCCTTGCTCTGTTTGGGATTGATGATGGCTGAGGGGGCAAGGGAGGGCAAAGGAAGGAAAGTCAAAATCAGGTCCTCCCAAACTCTGCATACTCCCATGCAAATCCCTGGGATCCAAGCATCCCACCCCACCTCTGCCCTAGCTCATCTCTCCCCTTTAACACTCTCCACCCCCTTCAGTCACCAAAGCTAATTTTGGCTTCCTAGGACCCGCCCCCACTGAGCTGCCTCTCTGGATTGGGCAATGGAGGGCTCTCAGCCAACATTCCCCCTCCCAGGGACAGGAACATGGAAAGGCTAGCCTGCCCCAACCCCCGCCCTTACAACTAACTTGCACCTGCTCTGTGCCCAGCACAGCCCTCCTTCTGGTTGGGCCCAGCAGGACTGGCCTACATGGTGGGCCTGGCCTTCCCCATTTGTGCCCAGCCAGGCCCCTGGGACTCACTCACAGGTGGTGTTACCCTGCATGCTGACCACACACTTGGCATCCTGGCTGGTCTCACGGGCATTGAAGGGTCGAACCCTCACTGCCACTTTCACGGAGGCACCAGCCATAGCTCCAGACACTCTTGCCCTCCTCAGCTGGAGGACAGAGAAAGGGGTGATCAGAACCACCAGGAAGATTGAGATATTGCCTCCCAGCTTCAAAACCATTTCTCCACTCCCTTCCCCAGCTCCTCAGCCCCTTAAGGATCCAGTTCCTGTTCCCTGATCTTTCTCCCAAATGTCAAGGTCTTGAGGAGCTCCCAAAGGTATTCCTGCTTCTCTGCCCAGCCTTATCCCAGCTTGCAGAGACTTGGGCCATAACCCCAGTTACCTGGCGTCGTGGCCCCAGACCAGGGGTGCTGTATCAGTTCTGGCTGCCACGGGCCCTCGTAAGGAGAGCCCCATTCTATACTCTGGGCCTGGCCACACCAGCAGGAACTGTGGGAAAACCCTGGTTGTGGGAGAAGAGTGGTTAGGAGGCACCTATGGCTCCAGAGGTCTGTATGGGATTCTTCATTTAGAGGGCAAGGGGTGTTAGGAAAGGTAAGGAGACTGCCCCTCTGGAGTAGCTGAATGCAATGTGAATCCAAGGGCAGGGACCGTGATATTTTTATTCCTCAGTCACTCACAAGTATACTGAATGCTCAGATAGAGGAAGGAAAGAGAGAGAGGGAGGGAGGGAAAGAGAGAGAGGGAGGAGCTGGACAGAGGGCAATTCAGAGAGGGACACATGGGCAGAGACACTGAGGACAGCGGGAAGGGGGAGAAGAGAAACATAAAGTCACAGACACCAAGAAAACCAGAAAAATAAAACAAAAGGCAAGACTGAGGTCATGCTATGGAGGAAAGAATGGGAGGAGGAAAGGAAGAGATACAGGAATATCAAACCCAGAGACAGTGAATAGCAGGGAGTGGGCTCAAGGAACAAACTACAGGAAAGATGAGAACAGAAAATCTAACCAATAATTCCCCTTCAGGGTCAGCAAGGAAGAAGTAGAAATCAGTTGCCACCTAGAGCCCACCACTTCTAAATATGAGGTAAAGACTATTGCTGAGGGGCAAAGTCCAAGGGCTGGAGGTACAGCCTGGGACTCAGGCTCCACAGGACCTGCCTTGTGAGCCCCAAACCCCTTGCCCAGCCCCCAGCACTTCCTCCTCAGGATCCAGGACAATGGGCAGGGGAGGGTGGAGTCATCCTGTATCCATCATACCAACCCCCAAGGCTCCATCGCTGGAGGACCTAGAATACCTGTGTCTTTGAAGGAGAGGACACTGGGAACCTCCTTGAAGGAGGGAGAATGTGAAGAAGCAGGCTGATCCTAACCCCAGCCTGGAGCTAGTGCTATGGCATCCACTGGGGAAGGTGCCAGGCTGGAGCCTAGGAATGTGGGTGATCGGGTGCCCACGCCCTGGGAGGAGAGGCTGAGTAGCCCACGCCCACGGACAGAAGGGTGAGGATTATGGAAAGGGATCTTTGCTGGGCCCCAATTTGTGGCCCCAAAGGACCTCAAACCTCTGTCATGTCGGGCCTTACCTCACTAGCCTTTCTGGGTAGAGCATGGGAAGGGTGAGGGGTTGGTCTGTCCCAGGACAGGAAGGGAGTAGCCTAAATCACAGAGGCTGGCTCAGGAAGAACAGCCCTGACCCCCTAGACCCTGACCAAGGGAGGGAAGGACACTGCTGAAGACATGCAAGGGTGACGCTATTGCCACTAAAAGAGCAGAGAATGGGATGTCACGGCTAGACAACAGCGGGGTAAAAGAATAGGGAGTAGGTACAGGGTCTGCGGGTGTCGCTTTAAGGGCACAGGGGATACAGGGAGGAGCCGGCGGCTGGGGTGGGGCCGACTGACCCGAAAGGGGGCTTCGGGCCACCTGCACCTTGCCTACTCCGCAGTTCTCCTACAGGCCCCTGCGGGCCTCTCGGAGCAATCATGCAAACCCTGTCCTGCTGTCCAGCTAACCTACGGCTGCCCGGGGCCTGGCACCTCTCTGCGCCTCAGCGGGACAAATAGCACATGATCCCAGCTCTCGCACTGTGCCGGCGCCCGCCGGGCGGTGCAAACGGGACCCCGGCTCCCCGCCCCCCAGCCCGGCACATTCCTCCGCGGGCGTCCCTTCCCTTCCCCCCACCCCCACCTCTCACCTCGTCGCGGCGGGGCTCCGGGAGCAGTCAAGCGGAGTGCAAAGGGACAAACTTTCCGGGAAGCGTGAGATGGGAGCAGGGAAGATTCGGGACCGACTCGGGGCTGCCCCCGCCCCTCGCCGGG